CCCCATCTTTATTTTATAAGGGGCACTTCAACCCGAAGCTCATTTCACAAGAAGCCACACGGTAGGGTTCCGTGTTCAGCTCCTGGTTGTGTTAAGCCCAACTACCAGCATATTTGGTTTGCTTTGAATTAAAATGTAATACTTAAATAGATTTTGACATNGGTTCCGTGTTCAGCTCCTGGTTGTGTTAAGCCCAACTACCAGCATATTTGGTTTGCTTTGAATTAAAATGTAATACTTAAATAGATTTTGACATCGTTATATAAGAACAAATCTGGACACAGTAGATACAAACAAATGAACACAGGCACTAAGATGTGGCTTTGGGACCTGATTCATTACAGATGCTAAAGCTTACTCCTGACTGGGCCCTAGAGCTCGCATTAAAAATTTCAGATAAACTGTGTCTTTTGGCCCAGTTAAGTTTAGCTTTCACTATAGGCTAAAAATCGTGGGTCAGAGGTTCTGTATTGGGTCTCTGGGCCCGAAACAATCAATGTTAGGTGGATGAATAAGTGACACAATGAAAAACCTGGGCCTGGTCCGCAGAGCACTAGGAATACTGAATTGGTCCCTGTTGTGTCTTTGCATATGTGATCCACTGTCACCAGTGAATTTGGTGTGACACCTCTGCAAGTGATCGTGGCATGACTTCACCTGATTTCTAAGAAAAAAACTCTGTGAATACAAATCAGATTGAACTGAGTCACCTTTCTCTAGATTAAGCCGTCATAACAAATAGTAACAATAAAATAGGCAAAAACAATAACAAGAAAGAATTTCTGTGGCTCGTAACAATGTACGTTATTCTTTGCTCATGTTAACGCTTTGATTTGGGGTCAGTCACAGCTCTGCTGATCTGTCCCCTGTCCCATCAGTCCCTGGGACCCAGGCTCTTGTTCTCGTGAGCAGGACGAGTAAGAGATGATTGAATCATCGTGCAATGACTCCCAACGCTTCTACTTGGAAATTGGTATATCACTTTTGCTCCCAGTCTGTGGGGCAAATGGCCGAGCCCACAGTCAGTGGGAAGGATAAGTCTTTATTCTCCATGGGGAGGCATTGCAAGTCACACAGCAGTGAGCGTAGTAGGGAAATAATATAATCAGAGTGCACAAGTACAAAGGAAAAGATGTTTTCTTTTTTTTTTTTTTTTCCAGGGTAGGGAGTTGCAGTTTCCTAAGTCCTAGCATATTCAATGCAAGATGTGCTGCAACAGTATTAGGGGTCACTTT